AACACCCTGCTACATTCTACAAGCGAGCACATAACTACTCTACTCTTAAGTATATAAAGCTCGCTGCCAGCCACTCTTTGAAAATTAAGCTACGTTCTCACTTTACTTGCACAGTTTAAACCTTCAACCCAATACCAACACAGGGTTTTCGAATACTATGTACTTAGTTTTTACATTTCGGCTGTTATACTGTATAACATAGTATAGTCCCTAACGGGCTTATCTTTATCTAGCTAGCTTTAAACTTTACAGACCAACAGTACTTTCCATATAATATTTCAAATTATCTAACACGATGAGCGTCATCCTTAAGGCTGTCCTTCGCAAGTGCTACGGAATGCTCGGTCTACCCCGTTAGACCGCTCTATCCTAGCATTAAGTCTGGCTCTGGGAAGAGAACCAGGAACTGCGCGAGGCTCGCACCTTCATCGAGAAGTTGAGCGAGACTTTAGACGCATTCTTGGCAATCCGCCGCACTAAGTACGACGGAGCTAAGATCTAACTCCTACCCTCTCCCTTCACCCGCGCCACTTCCTACTTTACATGTACATGTTCGGGGAGTACAAGATGCGCTAGACTTTCTAAAAGGAGGTTACAGCCATCTACAGGGCTCTGAACCGTCATATGGTCAAGGTAATCGTCAACTCTAGCAAGGATCACAAGCTCTTTGCGGTCGCTACTCACTACAACATCTATCCGGAGAAACCCTCGAATGTCGCGCGACTGTTGCGCCGTGTCTGGCCTCTTCTTTTGTAGGGAGAAAAAGTTTTCGGTACCTTGAGAGTCAAATTCGGCATCTTCATTGCAAAGTCTAGGCAGATTGCTTAGGAGGCATCTGTAGAATGGTTTAAAGCAGGACCAGGTCTCGAGAGAAGGCGTCAAGTTACGGAGTTGAATAACTAGTTCTTTAAGCCTTCGAGTGAGGTTCTAGCACACTAAAAATACGCCTTACGAAATCGAAACAAATGTGAAGTGATTACGAAATACCTAGAACCTCGCGAGTAAACTACGGCCTGTACTCATCCTTGACCCACCGAGCCAATCTTCTCAACGAAGCGACAAGCTGATAGGCAGGCCTCCCAACCGCCCGCCCGCCCCCGCCCGGGCCCTTCGGGCGGGCGGGCTGGCAGAGCGGGCATGGGCGGGCGGGCGGGCGGCGAGCGGGCGCCTAGGCGGGCGGGCGGGCGGGCAGGCGAGTAGGCGATTACTAAGACCTCTCGCTTAGCCTATTTAGGTAGTTACCTAAAAAAAAATAAAAAAGTAAAACAAAATAAATGCAATACTTTTTACTTTTACTAGGAATCGAACCTAGACCCTTATAAAGTAAAGAATATTTTTAGTTTTTATAAATATATACCTAAAAAAAATGCGCATAGACTACTTTTGCTCGCCTGCCCGCCCGCCCGCAGGCAACGGGCGGGCGGGCGGGCAAGGCGGGCGTGGGCGGGCGGGCTATTACGTAATCCGCCCGCCTCGTCGCCCGCCGCCCGCGGGCGGGCGACTGGGAGGCCTGCTGATAGGCCCTCAACACAATATCCGTTGCCCCAAGAACTACGTACTGCAGAATCCGAATGGCACAACCGCCATCTACTACTTTAGCGAATAGCAACCGCTATTCGTGCCCTTGCACAACCACAAGTGGCAGGACGGGCCATGACTTTGCCGCCGGCGCGAGCTGCCGTAGCCGAGCAAACTGTGCCCACACCCACACCGCCAGCTGTACGTGAGCCTCGTCCTCCCCGGCGGCGCGCTTCGTCTCGATGCTGACGGCAAAAGGTGTATAGCGTACGTGATCCATACGCGTTTGGTTGATGCTGGCGCCGCCCTTGCGGCGCAGTGTTTCCGCGACACGGTCCCCGAACCGCCGCCTCTTACCAGGAGTACCGTCGCTGCAGGAGCCCTCATAGAGTGCGTAGTCTTCATCGTTACAATCTTCGAGAATCAGGGCGTAGTCGACCATCTTGCTCTGCCCGATGCCGCCGCCCTCGAAACGCGGCAGCAGCTCCGGGTCGCGGATCCGTGCCGTCGTGATGTCGCGATACCAGACGCCGGTCGTACGGCGATATGGATCCAATGCAAAGCGTAGCACGCGCGAGTGCACCTCGCTGTTCCAGGCCGCCTCGGGCAGACCCGCGTCCTGACACTCGGTCGCCGCGTCGAT